TTGATTCATTCTAACAATGAAGTAAAAGGGACAACGTAATCTTAGTTCAAATACCTCCTGCTTTTTTTGTACATTCAGTAATATAAAAATAGTTTTTTATTTAAGTTTATAAATTGTGTTTAAACAAACATGAAAAAATAGTGTTGCTAAAGATATATACAGTTTTTAATACAACGTATATAATAATATCGTGTGAAGATAAAATGGTGTCCACATAATCTTGTAATCCTTGCAATGGAGCTTTCCACAATACACAGAAGAGGGAGGGGGAGGGTTTTTTGAGCAAGGCTTAATTAAATCCTTTAAAAATGTAATTCATGTGCTTTCCACAAATCCAGAATGTGAAATCATATCCTGATTTGAGGATATCAGTTATGAGGTTGTTTATAAGTTAGTGCTGTGTTTTGTGAAGAATTAAAATTGTTTTATTATTTAAGATTTTTTCTTACTGATCTGTAATATGTGTCAACAAAGAAACTATTTTATCTAAGAAGAGCTTAATATCAGGCAAAAAGGGTATGATTGAAGTATTGAAAAGGTACTTTTGTGATCAACCTTATAGTATTGAATATACTTTTAGTGGGGAAGTGTGTATTCTTAAAAGATTAAATTTATAAAGGAGAATTGTGGAGGAAATGCTTGGCCATTAACGTATACAGCTATACCTTATACTTGCACTGGATCGGGGTGGGAAAATGTCCCGGGATGGATAAGTATTTTAAAAATAATAAAAATAAAGAATCAAAACGTTGAATTAGGTTACTAGTCATAACAATATATATTTTACAAATTAGTTAGCGATACCCTACCTACATCATCAGGTACGGTCCACTGGGAGTCGAAAATTTTTAATTTAAGCAGAGATTGATATGTAAATCACATTTAAGATCTCAATTAGTGGAATACAATTCTTCAAACTCGAACTCAAACAGACAACTTAGTCAAAAATGGGAGCTACTTCGTCTTGGCTATGCAATGTACTGATACGTTAACCCTACTACACAATTTCCACCTTTTTGGTACGGTAATACAATCACTAAACATCATTCCATATAAAGTGGTTTCACTAAAACGCCCCATAATTCTCCCATTATAAGGTACCATAATTCTCCCATAATAATGTACCATAATTCTCGTGACGGTCGCGTGACTGCCTCACTGCGGCAGTTGCTATATTATTCACCTTATCGATTGTCCGAAGTTCCGCCAACGCTTCATTTTCTTGTTTGCTACGACGACATCTGTAGTAAATTCCAGACTTTTGGTCGTTTATTTTAAGTGTTGATACTTATGTATTTGTTTGATAAATATGTATTAGACTCAAATCAACTCCAGGTTTTGACCAGATATGTTTTGTAATTAATTAACTTTTTATGGTCATATGTGGATTGAGTAAAAAATATAAAGTTTTTAGTTATACGTGATTTTTTCAATAAAGGTTGACAGTGAGTTTTATTAAATATCTTGTTGTATTCTGCTTAATTGCTGGTAAGAAATAAGTTGAAGAAATTAGTTTAATTGTTCAAATCATTAATGGGCTTATGTCAATTAAGAGATTGATACTTCAGCAATATATTTATACGCGTAAAAATTAGTTGTAAGCTCAAATTAGAATGTTGTAGGGGAAATGGAAAGCCCGTGGGAAAATGGTGAAAAATATAATATACTCGACTTTAATCAACCGAAACATAGATTACAGGAGAAAGATGTACGTCTTATTCATAGTAAAAGTGAATTACATTTTGCTAATAAGCTGGTATCCTCTAACCTATTTTGTTTTAACCTCAATAGTAATAGGTTCTATGGTATATTTCTTTTGTATTTTAACTGGAAGCAGCCAGTGAACTAACTCAAAACAGTTAAGTATAGGAAACCCTATACTATGTGATAATATTAACAACTGCAGTTGTGTCAAATACTGTATAATCTAAACTAAAGAAATTTACAAGTATATAAACAATGTACTATGTCACACTCGCCTTTCTATGTATGAGCAATATATTTTTAATAGGCCTTTTCTGTGTAGTGGCCGTTCTAAAATCCCTACTGTTAGGTATTTTATTATATCACAAATAATGGTTAAACATACCTCGTCAGACAATCCTTAACATGTAGGTAATGTCGAAGTTGCTACATATGTTTCGGCGGCTATTTAAGCATCTCCGCCATCGTCAAGCACACAAAAGGATCCACTTGATGTGTCGTCAGAATAAATACACATTTTACACAAAACATAAAAAACTTAAAAAAATGTGTAAAATGTGTACCTATTTTATTTATTCTGACGACACATCAAGTGGATCCGTTTGTTTGCTTGACGATGGCGGAGATGCTTAAATAGCCGCCGAAACATATGTAGCAACTTCGACACTACCTACATGTTAAGGATTGTCTGACAAGGTATGTTTAACCATTATTTGTCATATTAACGCAATCCTAGGGCTACGAAAATGAATTCTATTATATCAGCTGTTTATATTGTTCCCATAAAGTGTTTGATTCAGGAAAATGGTGGTTTTCCTGAAGACATGTGTGGAAAGTTAAGCATGAAACAGTTGTAGAAGACAGACATGAACAGGAGCAATATAGAGTATCTGGGTTGTCTCGTATTGGAATTTTGCCACGTACTTTGGAAACCAATGGAACGTTTAAGAAATACCTCGAGGCTCAAATTTTGTTTGAGAATACTACGACTCATTTAATATGCTTACGTCGGTTTGATGTGTTTTACTTACTACTTAACAACGTGTATGATGTATATCAAAGCACTTGAAGTGTCAGAAATTTGAGGGTTCCCTTTTTGTTTAAAAAAGAGTTGTTTGTGGTTTTACAAATCAGTAACCAGAAATAGTTAAGTTATAACAATCTTGATTAGGATTCAAAACAGCTTTTTAAATGACACAGCACACATTATAGCTATGCTGTTAGTTTTGTCTATGTTTTTTTATTCTAATCTTTTGAAACTAATAATTTAACCAACTTAGATGATGCAACACGTTTAGGCATAGGTTTTCTCAAAAAGATAATATCTATTTCAAATGGGTGGTAAAATTTTAAATAAAATATTTCATGAAACTCCTAATCTTCACAACCACCCTTTAATTATCAATTTGCTTAGCAAAGTAGACTGATTACCCTGAAATTACTTGGTAGAAACCCAATTGATTGCACTACCTATCATTGAGTCACCTTTGACTTGCCAGTGTTTTTTTCCGTCATGGGACTTAATTGGTTTTGACAACTACCTAGATCTGTAGTATATGGTAACAAGGAGCTGGTGTTAAATGGGGAAAAAATTAAGAAAAACTAATTTTCAACTTTTTACCCTAAAACCTTACTAAAACAAAATTAAATAGGTTTCAAAATAAACACGTCCCACACATCAATTCAATATATTTATTTCAAGCTGTGTACACATGTTTACAAACTTAATGGAAAGCAGATACATTAACATTAAAATAGTCAACTCTTCCCTAAACTTGCTAAACTACCACTCTCTACGTCAAAACCTCACTGTCGATGGAACTTTAGTCTTTATAAATAGATAACATTGCAAAAATATCTACACATTATGTACAGTTGAACACATATTATCTACATGTGCAAAGGTAGTTCCTTCGCACTGATTTATCATTGGTCCTAGGTCAAGGCCGTGTTTGATATTAAACCTTAAGTTATCGTATGTTGTTTATCGGGAGTCGTAGGATATATATAAATGAAGTGCCGAAAAAATTGAATTACAGTACGGTCCACGAGAGTCTGCAGTTGAGGGAGGAGCCTATTTACCACGTGACTTCGGAGGAGCCAATGAGGATCGCGCGTTGTTGCCAAATCTAATAATACCAGCTGATTATAAAATATTGTTTAGTATTATTTTAATTAGTGTCGTCAGCAGGGGATATGGCAACGTCGCACTAACCCTGTCTTGTTGTTGGCTGACGCCAACTGCAAAGTCTCGTGGACCCTAGTATAGATTAAATTATACAAATGCTAGAAAAGAATTAATATGTTTGATCACAAATACTTTTTTCCTAGCTTCTAGTGTGTGGATTCGTTATATATATTATAAAAGAGACTCTGAATACGTTCGTCTATTAATTAATTTCGTTATCCAAGAAAATGTAAAATAAAAGGGGTTGAACAGCTCAAAAACAGAAAGAAAAAAACAGAAAAGCACCAAACACCCTAAAAATTGTCAATAGACAAATATAAGTAACTAGGTAGCTTACAGTATAAATAATTCTTCAAACTGGTATGTTGTTGTTTTACTATAATGTAAACAAAAAAACTCTTAAGGTGGTTTAATAATCTTAAAAAAGCGTTATAGGTATCACAACAGTCATCAAACACCTCATTAAAGATCCCTTTAGGAAAAAATAAAAGTGTTTTCTTCAATTGATTTAGCTACAAACAAACACATTCCTCTAAACCCTATGGTGTGAAAGCTATTGTTATTATATGTCTGTCAGATATGTTTCGATCCATAAAGTGGGCCTGATATTCTTGTTACATTCTAATAACATGTTTATCTAGCTGTACATTTAGCGTACATATTACTTCTAAAAGTGTACAATCAAACTGTCACAATGGCCACAAATTGTGTTGCACTCCAAATTGCAAGGAATTGAATTTATAAAGTACAAATAATCTTCTATTTTTTGAAAAGTTTCTTTTACTATCAATATACAATGTTGAACTTGCATCCCCGGCATTTGAAGTTAACTTTATATGTTACATTATATGTGTTAACTTTCAATAATTAGCTAATTATGTAATTATCTAATTTATTTATTTTTATTTGTTTTAAGATTGTTCTTTACTTCTTAAACCACTGTGAAATGCAACTTTAACTTAGTTTTGATACGTAATATTCTTTATCATTATACATGAGGAAGAATTACAGTGTTCAAAAATATCTTTGAAAAGCCTATGATGTATGTTTCTATTGGTAATAGGAAAATAACTAAAAAAAAACATTTCATGCCTAACAACCTCTAAGCATTTATTGTAAAAATTAATCATTTAATCTATATAATATTTTCTATGTCTATTAATTAATTGTAAATCATACAAAAGTAAGGTACACTTACAATTTTTAGTGATATGAGTAGTTTCAAATGCTCCTAGGTGTTTTTAGGTTAATGGAAAGATTAATATGTTAACTAAGTACTATTTAGATGGCACTGTGTGCAATACAGGATCTACTTTTTTCTACAAACCTGTAAGCAAGACTAGTATATTTTATAATGTAAAAATGTCTTTATCTCTGTAAATTATTTATAGAAATGAGCCTTCATAAATCAATTATCTCTCTATTGTTAGGTTAATTCCTTAACAGACATCGAAACTATATTCTCATTAATATAAGTGATGGGGTGAAATTTACAGCCCCAAAAGAATCAAAAACAAAAGTAAATTATAATTAAAATTATTTTTTAAAGTGTAGTCAACAAGTATAGAATCGAATATGAAAATTAACACGATTGACTAATTCTTTTAGCCACTATCATCGGTATAACATTTGTTTGGACGTTAAATACAAGTACTTTTATTGAACCCCCCAGCACTATTATTCCTGTGACACCAGTTGTAGATTGTAAAAGCAACAACACAATAAAAAAATAATCGTATACAACGTTTTCACAAAACACTAATAGTTTGTGGTTTTCAGCTAGTCATTTACTTTAGTAATGAAATCCAACCCATTAAAATTATTTTAAAATTAGTTTTGTAAATGTGAATGAATCCCACAGTAGTTTTACGAAATGTTTATACGTGTTGATTAACAGAATGATTCTCAAAGACATAGTTTATGGACAAACTGTATTGATAAGGATGTTTTGTCTAACATTGTTTCGCCAACTCTTTTAGGAAACTAGTCAAAACCCTATTCTGAGGCACCAGACGCTGTAGTCTATGCAAAAATGATGAGTCAACATCTAGAGTATAAAGAAGAGTGTTGATTTGTATAGTCCGTTCAAATCTGAAGTTCCTCTAACAGTCAAAATCCTACCAACTAGTCACCAGCTTGTCCACCAGTTTCTCTACTCTATGGTAAAGCTGTACTGTATACTCTATGCAACAAACCAAGTGATTCACCTTCTCTAGCATAGTTGGTTGTAGAGTCCACCTACCACAAATCTTCTCTAAGAAACTCTAATACGTGAGGCACCGTTATTACTCTATGGCGGAGCTGTCCTGTGTACTCTATGCAACAACGGAGGCCTCGTCACTCCCTTGGCCAAACATACAGGGTTGCACTGACACTTCAGCACCCATTCTACGTCTACAGACAGCACGTGTCTGTGGCCATGGACGGGTGCTTCGCTCCTCCACAAGTCACTCCCCAACTCCACATCCTCCAGACCACTTGTAACTCCACACACGAACTCCACCCGGACCGTGGAGCTGAGCTCCGGAGCGCAGCAGCCTCCGCACTCTCCGCAGGCCCTGGGTCGGTAGCGCTTCCTGCTGCGACACTGGCCGAACACTAGGTGCACCCGGGACATGCGGTGGGTCGCCTTGCACTCGTGGCCCTTCTGGAAGTCGTAGAAAGAGTTAAACGTTGATAGGTTCAATAGGGAGTAAAATAGAATGATTAAATTACTACTTATTATTAGGTAGTTAAAAACTATGGATGAAAAGGCGATAAATAAAATTCCTAAGAACCTAGGTCATAAGTGTAATAAATGGTCTATACTACGAAATACACACTTTTTCGTCGAAATGTATCGTAAGCTCAGCTAGCAAAGTAGTGTAATTAGGCGTGTTGGTTAACACAATAAATTAATCTATCCAGTAAAGTTGAAGTAGTTTACCCTCTTTTTACGGTTGAAGAGTGCACATTATTTAAATTAGAAGCAAAAATGCTAACGCTCTTAGGAAAACCTCAATATATCTTTCTATCTGTCACTTATAAACTGAGCTAATTGTACCAAATTTATGAAAAGTTTACACGTTGTTTGGACATATAACAGACTTTCTCTAGATTTCTAACAGTCTCCTAGTCTAACTTGAATCTATTTATTTTTGCCTTCAAATCTTTCTCGGTCCCAATGTGACTCACCCTGACATGATGATGACTCAGGTTGAGAGGTTTGACCTTGAGAGAGTCACAAGGTCGCAGCTGACAGAGACGAGTCTCATTGCGAGTTTTACAGTCCGGATTGAGGTTGGAGACTCGGTGAGACAAACCGAGGCCGCACGATGAGGAGCACGGCGTCCAGGGAGAGAACTCAGCCAAACACTGTGGAGGGCTCTGGACTGCAATGTAATTAAAAATGTTTGGGAAAATATGTTTTCACTTTTCAGTGTAGTCGATTTTCACACTTATATAAACACCACCTAACGCAACTATTTGAATCCTACTAAGTTTAAACCTAGGAATAATAACAAAACTTAAAAAATCTGTTGGTATTAAGAATCTGTTGGATTAAAAATAAAAAGTTTAAACGACAGACAAATCATAGTTCCATTTTATGTTAAGATTACAATAATTATACTTTGGATTCAGCAAATAAAGGGGGCACAACACCTGGCATACTAAAAGACAGACTATCCAGTTGAACCAGCTTCAGTCTACTATGGACTAGCTTTAAAAAAAAAATTTTGTTCTGACTGACAGACTGTGCAAGCGACAATATTTGTCCTTCCGTTAAGTTCAATTTTTGTCGATACCTTAGAAGTTAATATAACTTTCTACTAAATTTTTTTACAATACACCATCTTTTAGGTAAGAATAAGTTCAAATTGTGTGTTACATTATGTGTATCAGCATTGTGTAAAAAACTGCTTTCTTGAAATTCAGACTGCGAATAATTGGCAGAACCTTTTTCTATTGCAGCCGGCTGGTTATACTGAAATTTACAGCATAGCGACCAATGAGATATCACAAATCAAGTCTTCAGTACTATATTTTACACTTTAAAGCTAGGAATAAAAAGATTGGCTTGAGGAATGGGAAAACGTGTTCTAATTGAATTTTCCACCTGCTCATTAATATATTAGTTACATAATGCTTACAAAACGTTTGTTTGAGTCAACTGAGCAGAATCACTTACCAGACTCTCCGTCACACATCCACTCCCTGCAGCATTGTCCTGGCACCTCCACCAGACGAGGATGTCTACAGCTGCCTCTAGGGGATATGTTTTCCTGGGGGCATAGGCTGGCGCACGCGTACGTCCCGTTCTACAAACAACAAAGTTGGCCCATGTTTACCATTTGAATATAATAATTCAGTTTTTAAAGACTACACTTACTAAATCCCATGGCCACGCATATATAAGGAGAGATTTGGCTGCACCAATCAAGCCCCTTCATCTTTCTCTATCTTCTGCGTCTTCCTCGGTTGCATCTAATCGCTCCAGGTCTCTCTGTACTTGACTCCACCACTTTGGCCCTTTTGCTTTGGTCGTCTTCTTTCGGGATTTTAAAGACTATACAGTATAATATACACCTATACTGTTATACTACATATTAAATTTGAAAAGATGGTGAAAAGTGTATGATAGAAGTTTTTTAGGGAGTGAAGATGGGTTAGAAAGATTCAAAATCTGATCAGGCATGGACATTTTTACAACATAACGAACTTAGTACAGTTAATTTTAATAAAACAAAATAAACAAAGAAAAGAATGAAAGATGCTACACAAATTGATAGAAATAAGGAAGGTAATGGAAATTTTCTAAAAAGGGAATGTTTACATTTTTTGAATTGTTGCTTGTTGCGGTCATATGGATTGTGAAATATACTTTCTCTCTCTCACACAATGATCAGCTGGCCTGCTAATGAATACTGAACACCAACCCTTCCAAATCTGTAAAATCGCAACCTAATGGACACGTATGAACAATAATAGTGACTCAAGCGGGACCAAGTGACGATAGGGTCATATTCCAAATACCTTGAAACCTTAAAACTTACATTACACGAATGAGACATATGTTAGGGAAATGGAGGAAAAGGCTTCTCAGCATGAAGTCATAACTGGAACTATACATGATGTTTAAGTTATACCATAAATGTAATATGTAAGTAATGTATTTGCTTACTTTGCAGGCACATTGGGTACGACAATCTAGCATGAAGGTTTCCCCGTTGTCGTACGTTTGGTTGTAGATCGTGCAAGGCTTCCCTTTTATGGCTGAAACATATTGCTATATTTAGTAAGACATGCAAAATTATATATTTAAAAGTTGTATTGTATTCATACAATATTTACAGTCTAGCCTGGTTCACGCATAGGCTGAACCTTCTCAAATTAAACTATTCCGTTACTTTATTGATGTGTACATTTGTATTTGCTGTCTTAGTTGAACTCTCAGTTTGTAAGGTTTGTTTAACAGAGTACAGTATTCATAACTGTAAACTCTGTCAGTTCGTATTCATGGCTGACAAACTGACAGCTACGTTAAATGAAGGTTACAGTTGGTCAATGTTATTTATTTTTATTATAATTATTACTTTGAGACATCATTACCTTTTGGCTGTATTCCATAGTGACTACTCACATAATGGGTGTAGAACAGAGTGTATGAATCGTGTAGCTTTTAAATAACATGAGCTATTCTTTCTACCAGATCCCTAATTGAAAATCCCAATGGCCAAGAAAAGCTACTGATTGTTTTTCAGGTTCGAACCGATTACCTTCTGATTGTGTGGTGATTACCATAACTACTTAAATGTAATCTATCATATTACATCACCCGTATTTGGAATATTAATTATATTTTTTGGAAAGTAACCAATGGAGTGCAGAAAGTTCAAAATTAGTTAACACAAAATTAAATACAAAACTGAACAACTGAACATTCACTTCTAGCAATGTCTTTGTGAAAGCGTTGAATTTCATCCCATCCCTTCACTAAGCCAATTAGCGATATGTAGGCTTCCAATGTATGCTCAGCGCACACTTCCAAGAACATTGAATGCTGTGAGCAAAGCCAAAGCCCTCATTATATCTGCCAAGCCTTAGTAGCTTCTACTGCAAATATGGTGCACACACACACATGCACGTAGTCTCTCGCACACACACAAGGGTGTGTACACACTACAACATGTGCTTCGTTGAGTGTACCAAGTCGGCAATTAAACTAAACTTTGACTTGAGCAGTATTTGCTACATTAAACGGAGCCACGCTTGACTCAATTTGCATTTCTTTGTCAAACAGGTTTTGAATTTCTTAGCTTGCTGGGTTTTCTGGGTCACAATTAGGAAATTTTCATATTTACATTTCTAATATGAGTAAAAGTTGTGAGACAAAATTGTATTTACGATGTTGGGGTTATCATCTAATCAAACTATATACTTACTAGTATGTTTATTGAAAGTTAATCTTTCAATAAAAATCTTAACATTTCTTTTTGAAGGTAATTCTTGCAGCAGTACGTGTGTGCAAGAAAGCCAGCTGAGTAAATATAGGGTTTGCCGTGTAACTACAAGGTAGCCGGTTCAATTCTAAGAACATTCAATGCCCTGATGGTTTGAATCTGGGCCCAACTGCCCCCCCCCCCCTTCAATGGAAATTTAATAAATAATCCTTACTAGGAAATCAGCTGATCACAGTCAGCAACAAAGCTGTTATCTTATTCAACACTATTCCACACTTCACATTCAAATACACATTCTTAGGTGACGGGGTTGTGTGAATAAAATTGTATGTATTTATTTGCCCAGTTTCCAGCTATGTACCTAGGTCATGTAAATGTACCCAGTTTAAGCTTATGTACCTATTTCATTTCCATATACCCAGTGGCAATGTAATCAGTTGAAGCTAATGTACCCAGTTTGGGGAAGCGAGCTGATCTAGTGGTTAGAGCGTGGGACTTCGGTCCCTGAGGTCCAGGGTTTCTGCGAAATCACCAATGGATTTTATCTAAGTGGGTTGCATTATGCCGCAACCCCTAGGTCTAGCGTGAAGTAATGTGAAAAACAATCCCGGTCTCATGCCTAGCGTCCTACAAAATAAATGTACCCAGTTCATGTTAATGTACCCAGTTCACGTTGTTGTACCCAGTTCATGTCAATGTACCCAGTTCATGTCCACGTGACCAGTTCATGTCCATGTACCCAGTTCAAGTTAAAGTACCCAGTTCATGTCAATTCCAAGCATATCTAGGTGAGATGCATACCTTTACAGATTCCTACAGTAGTCTTGCTGTTGGCGTACTGACACACCAACCCCCTGGACTCGTCACAGAGCGCAGTACCGTCGCATGGCTGACCGACCTGTCGAGCACACATGGGGCAGCAGCCACAACCATCCCTCACGACCGGGACTCCTGGGTCACACCGAGGCAGACCCGGGGGGCAGACACACGGGTACGAGCAGTGCGACCTGATCTGGGGGCAGAAACAAGTATTATATGATCATCACTAGCTTTGGATGTAGCTTTAAGTGAAATACTGGATAGTTTCAAGCCCATTATACATCAAACAAATGCGTCAACGGGTCACAGGTATCTACATTCTGTCAGGCAGCATATGTAAAGGTCAATAAAATGTTTTCTCCAACTCTGATCATGCCCGTCAAACTAGACTCAAAAATGTAAGTATTATTGTTTGTCATATACATATTACAAAATCCGATCATGGCTAAGAGTATCTACAGCTTGCCTCAAGACTTTTAATTCTGGAAGTTCAAATAACTAGCACTAACCTGAGGATATGGCTAAGAATCAAAGCATTGTATAGCCTAGGCGAATATGTTTTAGATCAAAAACGTAGATTGTTTAGCAACAACTAAAATATAAAAGTAAACATATTTTTGATTTTTAAAAGGTATATATTTTTCCTTCTTTGACACAACTAATTTAAAGCTGGTCTCGGTGAAGAAGTAGGTTAATTTTAGGGAAATTACTACGGCCAACTAGGAAGGGTCAATAATAAATGTTAGGAATGTTGAAAGTATTGTAAAAACCCTGGCCTAAACAAGTTGGTGCTTTAAGCATGATATTGAACTTCATAGAAACCTAGTTTTTAGTAAAAGAGCTAAGATCTTTGATAGGGTTGCTTATAAAGTTTGGGAATCAGATTCTTTTTTGGAAATTCGGATTAGTTAAACTAAAATATATTTTAGTGATTATCTTGGTTGACTACTCTGATCAAACTCATTTTTTAAATTTTAACTGGCAAGTTAAGAATTTTGAAATCAGCAATAATGAGAAAGGTAGCTAAATACAAAAAATCTAATATTGTTAGTCTTTTTCATGTTTTTTAACAAAATAATTCCAACTTGTTAAACTAATTATATTAAAATTTCACAATTTACTCCAGAAAAGAACGAGTCTGGAATAATTTAACCTTTACAAAGGATCGAGCAAACAGACGCGGCGAAAAAAACTTTGAAAAACTTTCCTCTACGTGTCTTGGTTACAAAACGAATTGTACATCGTTCTACAACTGTAAATGAGCACATGTAATTGACGTGGGTAATTCAGGTAATTCATGTGGCTTATGTAAATATGAGTTAATTAGGTTGACGAGGAAGAGTGATTGATTAGATAATCAACGGAAACGACAGCTCGGTGATCAATGAGGCAGCGACGAATTGCTGTTTGGATCGAATAAATGGTAGAACGTCAATGTACCATTCATGTGCCTATATCACCTACAATAATCTCGATTTGAATGTGATTTACCGACGATCTAATAGATTAGCTAATAGAAGAATTAAGTAATTTTCTTTAAGTATGGAGTACAAGGTTATGGACGAGTTCCACAATTAAACAGATTTTTTTTGTTTTTTAAGTAAGTAAGTATTATCAGAATCTTTTCCAGCATCTAGCTAGGAGATATATCATCCATCATCCATCATGGAGAATTCAAGTTTTAGGCAAACATATTAGAAGTGGCAGTGGGGAGTTTGTAGTCTGTTAATCAAATACAACCATTGAAGTGTGTAGCTATTGATTACTAAATAATCAGTAATTCCATTTCTAAACCGTTAACTCTTAGGCCAAGGTATTCTGCTCTTTTCCTAATCAATAACGAAAAATGTATGTGATAATTATATTCAAATTAAAATGTGTTATTGATTACTGAGTTTCTAACTCAGATAGATTTGTTTGAATACTAATTTGCACTATCACATGTCAATATTAGAAAATAATCTGTAAATCTCTATTTTATATTTCTCATACAAGAATTATTATAAGCCCTAAGTCAGTAAGCTCAAAGTATTGAGAATTTTTAATCTTAAAGGTGTAAGAGGTTGGGTTCAGTTCATCATTATGATTCTTAATATATCTATACCCTGATTTATTTATTATTTATTATTTTTTGTTTAGTTTCTTCACATGATTAAGGTTCAATGCTATAAGTATTTATACGATTATATACTCATAATGAGTCTAAAATCATGCTGTATAGATCACCGCTATGGATAGACTTTCCTATTATCAACCTGTTGTGATTATAACATAAATCTGTAATGAATTACCTCATTGTAAGGACTTGACAATGGATGGTCATCCTTGTAGTCCTCACACTCGTAGCAAGGCGCTCTCTGACCGTCTAGTAGTGTTCCTAGCAGTAGCACCAGCACCACCACTATCTCCATCTCTGTACAGACATAAAGATTTTGTTGTTGACTAAATTACCAATACTCATAATACTATACAAACTACAAAAATACAATTTTACGGACAAGGATTTAAATTTATTTTGTAAACTAAAATTTTACATGGCCTACTAGTTAGATAAGTTTATACTTAAAAATAAAAGGTTGTATAATATAAATATAGGTAAAAGGGATATGGAATTTGGTAGAATTTGTGCACCATCAAGTTAATATTTACTAAGGTAGCAGTTATTAAATAAAACCAGATTTAAATAATTTCTATTATGTATTTAATAAAATCATATATTTGAGTGGTTTTACTAATATAAGGTAACATTGAAGTGGACTGGCTTGATTTTAGGCGAGATATCGATAAGTCATTCAATATACAGTGCATTTGTGAATTATTAAAAGCACCTCATCGAAACTATAAATTATTATTTCAAACTACAACTAATAATAATAGTTAAAACAACTACAAAATAAAATTTTAATACGTCATATAATACCCATGTTGTTATGTTGTTAATTATTGTAATTGTTATTGTTATTGTATGTAGTTGAGTAAAAGACAATAGTCTTTTCCCAAAAAAAGATTACATTTTTTACTTTAAGTGGATAATGTATAAAAAAATCTAAAGGGAATTCTCTCCGAAAACTTATACCTATTTACAGCTATTTTTATATCAACTCATTATTTAAGTTTAATAACAAATAGTTTTTACATTTTTTAATAATCCTTTCCAACCGTTTTAAAACACGTAAATACAAATATTCCCAGTTGCGAGATAAAGTAAGGAAACCCACGAATCTCGGAAAAGGTTTAAACGTGTGGAGGAATTAATCGAGAAGAAACGATGTTTCCAGACGTGTCGGACTCTTTAATACCTTCTTGGAACTCAAAGAAACCTTTTAGCAACGCTGCGAACATTTGGGAACAACTTGTTTCCGCGAATGTGCAGTGGGACATTAAAACGATTGGTCGGAAAGTATTTTATCTGTGTATTCTAATAATATCTTAACGTTACTTTTCAAATCTTTTGGATGATTTTTATTCAGCATAAACGAGATGAGCTAACGGCGTAAAAGACAAACACGTTATATCCTGTGTTTACAGCAGTATACAATTAAAACCCTTAGCAGTTAAAAATAGTTAGATTATTATTTTTATTGATACATGAATGCCATATGATTCATACTTGTTTTTTTTATTTCTGTACTTTTTTAAACTTATATATATATATATATTATAACTTTTTTTGACTCGTGGAGTATGTTGCCACAGAGTTTGATCTTAAAAGATGCCTTAAAATGACAAAGGCTAGACTATACTTATATTTTAATTTTGGTCACTTCCATTCACCTTTTTGACTATTTTCAAGGGCTGAAGTATAACTAAGGCTGGGTCCCCATCACTTAGTTCCACATAGAAGGGTGCCATTTCCCCCTAATTCACCATTTTATCTTTTTATTTAACTAGGTATTTAATTGAAATTGTATAAAAATGTATTGCTGTTACATCACAACCCTGTGTATTGTTAAATGAAAGACCAGATCACTCATTTTTTATATGCTCAAAAAAAGTTGTATCCCGGCAATGTTTGGGTGAACAAACGTTTTTTCACTAAATCATAGTTAGGCAATAGCAGATGGATGAGACATAACCTAATTATTACATAAATAACTAGAACTACAAATAAACTTGGTCTTAAATAACGTAAAAAATGTCAGCAATGGAAAGGAAATAAATTCAACTGGTTTAATACAAATACACTCACACTCTATCGTGCAAAACTGAGACATCCTAAATCTGTATGTAGGCATTTTACATTAAACTAAAAGCAACAAACTTATTGAAATACAAATAATATTTTGAAATTTCCCGGAAAAGACGGATTTTACCACAGATTTTTTTTTTACTTTACAATATTAACTCACATTACATTGTCTTAAAATGTAATTAATCACAGATTTTAATATCAAATGGCGGAGATAAGTGTTTATAATGTACAGCACATTACAAAAACTATTCTTTCCTTGAATAATAATGTTTTACAGAAAATGATTTGTAATAGAGATTAAACTAAATAAAGAACCGCTCTACACTGTAATAAATCTGTATCCAATGCTCCACCTGACGCCATTAAAGCCTCATCTTCAATAGAGGTGTAATAATTTTACGCTGTATCTCATTTTATCCGTTGCAATGTTTGTATTCCAAAATTTACATGGGTAACAGGTTAAAATATTTGTTTCAGTTTATGATTTTTGTCTCAATGTGTGTACGTCATATTGGAAAGTACCCAAATTATGGTATCAGTATTGGATTAATCATATTTCTTTGTTTTAGCGAATTTCCCTATAGGGAAGTAGCTATTACCGTAGGTGGCACGGTAATACCTAGACCCGGGACCAAGTTACTTTTTCATTTTGATGTCCCCAGAGGCCAAAAACACCATTCGTTCAAATTTTTATATATGTATATATATATATAGACTTATATATATATACGTCCGTGAACGTGATAACTTGAGTAATTTTTGTCCGATTTTGATGAAATTTGGTTTAAAGGTGTAAAGCAGGATAAACTTGAATGAGTTCGCAAACCAGCACGATCGGACCATGGGAACGGGGCTTTACGGGGGGTTTTATGGGGTAAAAATTGGTTTTTCTCACTTTTGACCCTCAAAAAACAAAATTTCCCGATTTCTCTTTAGACCTTTTTAAAGAGCTTAAAAAAACAAATAATTTAGTATATAAAAGAATTTTTGTTTGATTATTAGTAACGGAGAAAATTAAAAAAATTGTAAATTAAAAATTCCCATGTTATTCTTATGGAGAATATTGTCAAATGTTGTAGTTTGCTTGTTTATGGGATATATTTTGATCAAACTTGGCAAATTTATTTATTTTGTACTAAGCTATCAATATTTTACTCAAAAACACACTTTATTAGTTTCCTTGTAGCAGCAAACCTAGGTACTCGTTAAACATAATGTTATTAAAATATATTTAACTGAAAATCAATTCAGACAAATGGAAATTCGCTCAGTCGGCAGGTTTTCTGCGGCGGGGGTATTTAATTATTTATTTTTGTAGGTTGGCGGCATTTTTAAACTTTGTATTTCCCTTCCACATGTACAACGGATCTTTGCGTGGAACGTAAAGTAAAGGAGTGAACTGGTATAGTCAAAGGGTGCATTAATTGTACTGAAAATAAAAGGATCCGAACCCGAAACCTACAATCTGTGGCGCTACAGACTGAGCCACCGACTCACAACTAATTTCTATTTTACTCGCTGTATTTAGCAGTTGTGTGTAGGACAAAAAAGCATTTTGAATGATGTTTTTTGAATGATGTTTTTTGAATGATTATTGTGTTGCCTTTAGAGATAAAATATAATTTCCAAATAACTACAAAATGTCTGTAAAAATATGAACTTATCATTCTGAATCTCAACTATTTTAATGAGCTGACTGTCAGGATAAAATTAACTTTTTACCAATCTACACATTTTTAGATTAAAACTAATGAAATTAAACTTATTGGCATCAATCAAGTTTACTTTCTAGAATTCCTTGGAATTTTACTTCGGAACTTTGCAAGTCGTGACATATCCCTGGTTTCATATTGAAATTCAAACAAACCTGTAGTTTTCTTCATTAAGCATGCACAAAGTTTCAGCTAATTTGTTATAATAGATTTTGTGTCCATTTAAACAGAACCTCATGTGATCGTGGGTTGCTTCGTTAAAGTAATTATAGGTGTCTTTTAACCAGATACCATAATTCTAGCTTTTATTACATAGAATAAACATACAGTTGTATTGGGTTTTTAATTAAATATCAACTTCAATGTATCTTTTTGAGTAAGAAAATACTCTCAAATACACAATTTCTTACATAAAACAGTTTATTCTATATGCATGAAACTTAAATTAAAATATGACCTTCGACCTTAAGAAACATCGCCTTTAAATCTTCATCCAGCTGAGAGCAACAGAGTTACCAGGGAGAAAAATACCTCTAGGCTTTTCCATTCTCTCATGTTCTCCGTAGTTGTTATAAAAGCTGGACTTAAATGTGAGTTGTTTTATTTTGTGCAGTCTTAAAACAACCACTGGAGGCGATCATTTTATAAGGCAAGTTATTTTAGACATTAAATACTCGTCGTTTTTCTATGTTATTTTTTAGATCGTTCCATAAATAAAACTCTGCTGATTCCAGCCCATGTTTTTTTTTTTGCAAATGTATAACCTACGATGGTTAACTCAATATTTTTTAAATTGCAAAATAAATTTAAAATCATACAATAGTTTAGACTGCAAAGATGTCTACCTGGTTCTTGTAATTGCCTAAGCAGATGTAATTACAAAATATAATAACCTTTATTGTTAAGTTTTTAAATTTTCTTCAGAGTTTACCGTACCATTTGCACATTGTTCTCTTCTGTAAATTTGCTGTTTTTGCCTCCATACTATTTATTTATTTTGTAGTGTTTCATAATTTTGGGTTTGCTTATTGTTAGTCTCTACTTCGTCAATATTTATTGTATTATTGTTCCTGCATGTTAACTAGTCTTTATTGCCACTTGCTGTGATATTTATCATGCATTTATTTTCTCAACGTTGTTTTGTTATTTCTAAGTTTAGGTACTAGGTAGTAGATAGCTGTAATGGTCACACGCATGTATTATTACATCATCTTTTTTTGGCCATCTGTAAAAAATTGCAATGTGAAATGTAAAATGGTGTTTGCCGTATACAAATAAATAAATAAATAATGCTGTGTCAATTACAATGGTTCCATCATGTCCACCAACTGTCTGAATGATAAATGGATTTATTTAAATCACGTAGTTCTGTCATTTACAAATAAATGTAATAATCGATTCAACGCATCCATTAGACTTTACGACACGTTGTATAACCATTTATAAAAGTCGTTAAATTTATATTACAACAAGTTACAAACCATGTTTTAAATATTTATAATTGACAATTTATTTTAATCGGTGCATTGAGCATTGTTGTCAAACTATTTACAAAATTATAAATAGATTCCAAATTAAGTCACGATTTAATTCTGTTCCAGAATAAAATTACGGTTAATACACGAATCACAATTTGAATTACAAATTATATCCTTATTGACTTTATTAAACCAAATAATTAAGTTTTTTGAACCGTAAAGAAATTCTCACACTTACACTAATGATCATAAATAGTCAGCTGTTCAGCTAACACTAAATTAGTTTTTGTTTATTTTTTTGGTTATATAATCAGCTAAGCATCAGAAAAAATAGATTACTTCATTGAAATGTGAACGAATAGTGTTATTTGTTGCTAAGACCCATTCAACATATATTTCCAAAAGTTCGACTTCAAATCTTAAATCTACTAGGGGTATTGCTCAAAGGGATTTAATTTATAAGAATATGCCTGTATGTTAGCCTTATTTTTAACTTCAAGTAACATTTCAACCTATTTGGTTTGTTAGAATTTGCATGTCCCGAAAAAAACACTCAGAAACCACTTCTTATTTCCATACAAAAGATAATCAATCGTTTAAATACGTGAATCATAAATTGTCACACGAAGTTTAACAGTGTACAAAACGACAAAGGATTCCAAATTAAGGTCACGTTGCTCTTCCATTTATAAATGATATTGAAGTTTCAATGTATGTATTACACTTTTCGTCACGTTTTGTAGTCACTCGAATACGAAACAATCAGTTCCATTTGTACACTAAAAATTAGAGTAACATTGATAATTGATAAACATTTATAAATGACAAAATCGGTTGATCCATGCAATTTAATCCACGTGTAAAGTTTGGCCGTTAATAATTGAATCAGAGATTAAACACATGATTTACTAACTACTACTGTAGTTGCAATATGTTAAAGAGTTTCAATAAACGTATTTGGACATTGATGAACAGATATTTTAATTTTTCGATTTAATATCAATTCAATTATTTTTCAATTCAAAACATTTGTTCAATGCTACACGTTTTACAAGTATGTCAAGTTGTCTAGCTATATATGAAAGGTAGTGTCATTTTATTTCTAGTATTGAAAACTAGGTCATGCTGTATAAAGGTTTTATATTTGTTTCAATACAGGTATTGCAAAATCATTGCTCTCGTCATATAATGACAAGATCATTCCAATGCAAATATTTATTCAATACTGTCTTCCATTTATGAATTATACATTCATTTCAATGCATGTACAGCAAACTGATTCACGATGTATAATTATCTTCTTAATTAAAATAATGTCCATAACTTTTCTGTGACACGATTATGCTGTCAGTTCTGTACAACATTTTCGATACATGCATTACAAAAAACATCATGATGTGAATCCATACAAAATCATAATAATGTGTTCAAATTTTAGTCACCTTGCCTAACAGTTATTAAACTTTTATAATTTTAAACCATTTTAATTTTTTCTATCATAAATTTGGTTTCAAAAAGTGCATTTAAAACTAGTCAACATTGTCCAGCTATTTTAAAATGATGCAAAAACGTCAATAAATTGAATTAAAACCTCTGTCTCTTTTAAGAATATTAAAAAATGATACGAATGTTACCGTATATTTTATATATTACCACACCAAGTCTAACCATATATAAAACCGGTCGCCATTGTTGTCAGTTATCGGTAGAGGTCAGTTTATCATTCTGACAGATCATTCGTCCGATGTCATAGCGGGGGTGTATTAACCCCTAACATGACCCTGCACTTTCAACCAACCTAGGGGTAATTAGGTGATGGTCTTTTGTTTTCACAGATTATTCTGTTTTATTAATTAAAATTTGGTCTTTCTGTTGTGTTTTTTGTAACTCCCAATAGAATATAAACTTTTGGTATTGACGTTGACATATTTCACTATAATTAGTTACTCTTGCAATAAAATGTTCAATGGTAGCTTAAAATACAACAGATGTAGGCTAAGTCCTTTTGTACATTATAAACATTTGTTGCTTTTTTACCGGAAATCAAACATAATATTTTGACTTCATGGAAATACCACATGATGTATGAACATATCCATAGATTTTAGCTTCAACAATTCGTACTGCAATATATTTCTTATTAAGATTTTTATAAAATGTTGTATATTTACAGATCTTATAATATATGTGTGGTAATAAATACGTGTAGTATAATATGTGTACGGTTTTGATAAGCTTTTAAATTATCTTCTCTAAGCAAACTACATAAACAATTACTTTATACTACCTAAATTTTCAGGTGTAACGGGATACTTATGAGGAGTAAAAGTATATTTCCTTACAAACAAATTGATTGTAATTTTAAAAGGGGTAGAAAAATTCAACACTAAATATTGTGTGTGTTAAAGTCAACTACCCTATGACATTTGACCGACATAACGTATTTCAAATACAATTTTAAATCCTCCCCTGCCTTATACAAACATAAATATCTCCCCAGTATTTTCAACCCCAAAACATTGACACAACTATCACTCACCGGGCTCTACACCTATTCCACAGTACACGAAGCACACTCTCCAACCATCTCGCGAACACTGTGACTATTCAACAAGTAAGGCGCCCCAGCGCCCCCTAGCGCCCTCTAGCGCCACCGCGGCTGCGCCACCACCGTCAGAGCGCCACCTGTCTAATCTATAGTGGTGAGGTGATACTCACACAGTCGCCTGACACCCCGGAACATGTGGTTATGTGTTCTTGGGCCTTTCGTGCTTCGTTAACTCTATGATATTGCACTTAGTGCATTTGGTATTACGTGTTTACGGGTTTTCTTAAGCTTTTTAGTTCATATGACCAAATATTTCATGTTTTTGAGTTGTTTCGAAAATTGCATTATTTAAATGACCATCATAACAGATAAACTGACAGTTTAAGACTTATTTATTTAAACGTCACTGGAATTTTAAAAGTATTTTAACAGGCTGAAGCCTGATAATGTCACTACAACTGTGATGGATAGTTTCATGAATTTATACCCCAAGAAAAATGGCATATGGGCCGGCATATTGTTTTGAAGCCAACCCATCAAATTTAGTATTAGAATGCATGCACGTAACTACACAGTTACCTAGTCTCTTTCGTACACTACATTCAAACAGTAAAGAACTGTTGTGGTTTAAGTTACATGGGCGTAACTTTAGTGACTAAAATCTAAACAAAATAATTACAAGATGAAGAATATATTATATGTGAATTATATATGAACTGCAAATTTATAGCTTATCAGTTTCAGCTGTACTACTGAGATTAAGTATTCGGTTTATGTATATAGAGTATGATAATCTACTCACAACAAACTTAAACACTGTTAAATGAAGTTTACAGTGTGTTTATTTACACATTTTTTTAGGATTTTCCTGTGAACTCCTGTTCTATTGTGGAACAAAAATATTTTTCCGGGGACTATATTTTCTTATTTTTAACGTAATTTGAAACTTAAAAATTATTTTTTTACAATTCATTTAAAAAGTATTTTCTTCGGCCAATCTCAAAATTGTTATAACATTGTGGGTCATAGTAAGCTCTTTCTTCACAACAATAGCCTTCACAGAGTTGTCAAGCTTTAGAAGATAGCCTACAATAGCTTATTTGCCTTCATAAAGTCTTCAACACAAGTTAATTTTCAGTTCCAACCTCTCAAATAATAACTCTCTTATCCAAGTGTCTGTCTTCATTGCTCGTTTGATTTCATTCTTCATTGAGAACTTTATTGTTGTAATTCTAATGCTTTGAAAAACTCTATGTGTACATTTTAGATATTTATTTAATGTAGATTCAAACCCTTAATTAAACTGCAGTTTAAGTCTATACATTTTTGTCAAGTATAAATGTGTGATGAGTTTACCTCTTTTGAAATGGTCTTCAATCGAGGGGTTCTGTAATGGCTCGAGTCGCTTCAGTCGCGCGGCTGTAGACGCTCGATAGGAAACGGTTGCATTTACTTTTCATTAAAGCAGTCAATTTTTTCAGCCGCAACAGTCGCAGGATAGGAAATGGACCTTTAGGTTTTTCTATCATGGTTTATGGTTTATTTCACATAAAATTGCATCCAACAACTTATAATTAGAGATATATAACATATAATTAGACACTAAATTTATTAATTTTAACATTTTGCACTCTGCTCCCATCTTTTGCCCTAATACAGTGTATAACACTTTAACCTAAATGTAAAATTTTCTTTAAGTAGTTTAAAACTCGCTACAGCTTGGGCAGCAAAGTTTGGACTCCCAAGACGCTAACAGAGAGTCCTGCAGTCAACACTGCAACACACTACTGCATCTTGCATGCAATCCGTATGGACCTGCTGTTTAAACATTCTTTTTTACATTTTTTAACAAAAATACAGCTGTTCAAGAGATGATTTACTTCATAACTGTATGTCCTTGATGAATATGATTAAAATATTTTATCGAAAATAATGTCCCAATGAAATTAGTACTGTAGTTAAATGTTTATAGTTGAGCTATACTGCTTTCATTTTTAGACGTTAGGGAATTGTTTTGCTGACCACAAAACTAGTGAAAGTAGTCAGTATTATTTCCAAAAATAATATTGTGATAAACGTTTCACTTCATGATGGAAATAAACGAGTTATTCAGGTCCATAGTTTTCTTTCAAAATGTAAAAAATAGAATATTGGAGTAGTATGGGTAAGACAAAATTAATTCCTTTACTAAAATTAAGTACAAGCAAAAGAGTGTAAGATAATTTCAAATGTAGATAAAATGTATGGTAACAACAGAATTGTGATAGATTATTATCCACATCACAAACCGTTGAAATTAAATTACAGTATATGGAATTAGTTTATTAGTTTAGTCATTGCGTTACGTTGTAGTGAAATAAAGTGTAAAGTAAAATAAAGACTTCTATTTGAAAAACTAAAACCAAGCATTGAAGTTCGACTTAATTCATACTATTGAGATTGGGAAATCACACAGGCATGGCATATGTTTATAACGGGGACAAAATACATCTTATTACCTCAAAGCAATTAACCAGCATCAGCTGTTTTCGTCAAAGGTTATTTCAAATACTGCCAAAAATATTAATATAAACAAAATATTATTTGGACAAAACTACTCACAAAACGCGTTTGGTAAGGATATTTTTGGAAACGTTTATGACTTAACTAAAAATGTTAAATTTTCTCAAAGTTTTAAAATACTAAACGAAGCAATTATCAATTGAAACAACCCATATGCTCAGTTCAGTAGGGAGGGGGAACCACAACCATTATTGGATTTCCCTTTTCAACAAATTGTTAACGATTCCACCTTTTATTTCGTACAGATGAAACGAATTCTGTGTCCTTTCATGTATTTACCCAGTTTTTATTTCTTTTCAATTTTTATTGACACAAGAATTGTGATAGATTATTATCCACATCACAAACCGTTGAAATTAAATTACAGTATATGGAATTAGTTTATTAGTTTAGTCATTGCGTTACGTTGTAGTGAAATAAAGTGTAAAGTAAAATAAAAACTTCTATTTGAAAAACTAAAACCAAGCATTGAAGTTCGACTTAATTCATACTATTGAGATTGGGAAATCACACAGGCATGGCATATGTTTATAACGGGGACAAAATACATCTTATTACCTCAAAGCAATTAACCAGCATCAGCTGTTTTCGTCAAAGGTTATTTCAAATACTGCCAAAAATATTAATATAAACAAAATATTATTTGGACAAAACTACTCACAAAACGCGTTTGGTAAGGATATTTTTGGAAACGTTTATGACTTAACTAAAAATGTTAAATTTTCTCAAAGTTTTAAAATACTAAACGAAGCAATTGTCAATTGAAACAACCCATATGCTCAGTTCAGTAGGGAGGGGGAACCACAACCATTATTGGATTTCCCTTTTCAACAAATTGTTAACGATTCCACCTTTTATTTCGTACAGATGAAACGAATTCTGTGTCCTTTCATGTATTTACCCAGTTTTTATTTCTTTTCAATTTTGCTGCAACAGTTGCAGCAACAGTTGCAGCAACAGTTTTTCAAACGTCTCTTGTGTTTAATGGTTGTATTTCTAGCGTTCAATATTTTTTTTTTTTTGCTTATTTATGTTTTATTAAGTTAATCTACGAATAGTATGCGGTTAAATATATAAAATACTAGTTTAATGCTTTCGTTTATTTATATTTATTGTATTATGTGCTCTTTTTTTACGCCAGTGGAATTTCACAAGAGAGATACGAGAGAATAAATGTTTAGTTTTCTTAAAACAAAGATAATATATATAAAACTCTGGATGTATTACAACTGATAATACCCTCTTTCTAACATCATAACGGAAGTAGTAGAAAAAATATTTGAACAAATTTACAAAACTCTATACAAAATAGATTTAAATAGATTTTAGACATAAACTTGTTGCTACTATTATCAGTTATTATATATTTATTTTGACCTAATTTGAGAGTAAAGTTTGCAAACTTATTTTTAATCTTGTGTTTAGTTATGTTCATGTTAATGGTTTGGAAAAGTATCCATTAGGTTTGGAACTGTTTTGAATATTACTTCAGGCTAGTCCTATTGAACATTGTACATTGGCATGAACTGGGCACATTAACATGAACTGGGTACATTGACATTAACTGGGCACAACAACGTGATCTGGGCACAAAAACGTGAACTGTGTACATTGGCATGAACTGGGTACATTTTTTGTCCTAGGACGCTAGGCACTAGCCTGGAATTATTTTTCACATTACTTCAGGCTAGTCCTAGAGGGTTGCTGCATTATCACATGAATAAAACCCATTGGTGATTGGCGGAAATTGAACCCGGGACCTCGGGGACCGTAGCCCTACGCTCTACCACTACACCAGCTCGCTCCCCCTGATTAGAGGTACTGAAACACGTAATATTTTCATTCTTTTATTGTTTACAACGTTTACAAAGGGTTCCAATCGAAAGATAATTTGATTTAGACATGGTTGAAAATCATTATCTGTTTGCAAAATTACTCTTGTGAAACTCCAACCTAACGATACGCTTGTTTACAAAATTGGTTAGCGGATTTCATTGCTTTTATCTCAATTTCACCTTTGAGTTTTAGATAGGTGATATCTTTTATTTATAATATAATGTATTATTTCACATTTATCTCTTATCAAGGTTTCTATAGTTTTATTTTACCAGTGTACTTTGTTGTATGATACATGCACGATTATCATTGATTGTGAGTGGGAGCTAATATATTAGTTCTCAGTAAAGAATTTTAATTTGTTATGCGTAAAAATTACATTTTTAGGGTGTTATGTTTATGTTGTAGGTTTCGTATTATACTCCTAAATCAAATGTTCTACCTTCATGAACCTATCTCCCATGTGAATTATATTTAAGGTGGTCATTATTTGTAAATAGCTAGTACAACTATATTTGTCATAAAAATATAATATTTTGAAACCCTTTTATGTTTTTTTTTTTAGATCTCGTTTTTATAAAATGAAATCGGCTATATGGTAAACTGTAATGATAAACTGGCTAAAATGAAACTAATTATTTG